CAGCCTCCCAAGTAGCTGGGATTATAGGCGTGTACTACCATACCCGGCTAATTTTGAATTTTTAGTAGAGACAGAGTTTTGCCATGTTGGTCAGGCTGGTCTCGAACTCTCAAGCTCAGGGCATTCGCCTACCTCAGCCCCTCCAAGTGCTGGGATTACAGGCGTGAGCCACCATGCCCCGCCATTATTTAACCATTACCACTTGGACTGATACTTGAGATATTTTCAGTTATGTATTTATTTATTTTTTAGACGGAGTTTTTGCTCTTGTTGCCGAGGCTGGAGTGCAATGGCATGATCTCAGCTCACTGCAACCTCCGCCTCCTGGGTTCAAGCGATTCTCCAGCCTCAAACTCCTGAGTAGCTGGGATTACAGGCACTGGCCACCACGCCCAGCTAATTTTTGTATTTTTAGTAGAGATTTGGTTTCACCATGTTGACCAGGCTGGTCTGGAACTCCTGACCTCTGGTGATTTGTCCACCTGGGCCTCCCAAAGTGCTGGGATTACAGGTGTGAGCGACCGCGCCCAACCAAAGTTATTTATTATTACCAACAATGATGTGATAAACATCCTTGCACATGTACTTTTGTACATATGTGTGACTGTTCCAGTGTGGTAGATTCCTAGATGTAAAATTGCTGGGTCAAAGAGTAGGTATACTTTATATTTTAATTATCATTTAAAATTGCCCACCAAAAAGCCTGTATCAGTTGGTATTTCTACCAAAAGTATGTAAGAGCATACATCTTCATATCTTCCTCAGCCTTGTAAGTTAGCAATTCTTTTCATTTTCACCAGTTTATTATTTTATTTATTTATTTATTTATTTATTTATTTTTGAGACAGAGTCTCGCTCTGTCACCCAGGCTGGAGTGCAGTGGCGTGATCTCGGCTCACTGCAACCTCCGCCTCCCAGGTTCAAGTGATTCTGCTGTCTCAGCCTCCCAAGTACCTGGGGTTATAGGCCCACGCTGCCATGCCTGGCTAGTTTTTTGTATTTTAGCAGAGACCAGTTTTCACCGTGTTGCCCAGGCTGGTCTCAAACTCCTGAGCTCAGGTAATCTACCCGCCTTGGCCTCCCAAAGTGCTGGGATTACAGGCATGAGCCACTGTGCCCAGCCCATTTTCACCAATTTGATGGGGAAAAAACCTCATTCTTTTAATTTTCATTTTGCTGATTATATATTACTACATTATATCTTATCTTTATTTTAATTTTTATTTTATTATTATTGTTATTTTTGAGACAGAGTCTTGCTCTGTCTCCCAGGCTGGAGTGCAGTGGCTTGATCTTGGCTCACTGCAACCTCTGCCTCCTGAGTTCAAGTGATTTTCCTACCACAGCCTCAGCTTCCTGAGTAGCTGGGATTACAGGTGTGTGCCAAGACACCTAGCTAATTTTTTGTATTTTTAGTAGAGATAGGGTTTCATCATGTTGCCCAGGCTGGTCTTGAACTCCTGAGCTTAGGCAATCCGCCTGCCTCGGCCTCCCAGAATGCTGGGATTACAGGCGTGAGCCACCACGCTTGGCCTAGAGCTGTCTTTTTTTTTTTTTTTTTTTTGAGATGGACTCTCCCTCTGTCACCCAGGCTGGAGTACAGTGGCTGTCTCTTGGCTCACTGCAACTCCGCCTCCCTGGTTCAAGCAATTCTCCTGCCTCAGCTTCTGGAGTAGCTGGTACTACAGGCGCAAGCCACCACGCCTGGCTAATTATTGTATTTTTAGTAGAGACAGGATTTCACCATGTTGGCTAGGATGGTCTTCATCTCTTGACCTCGAGATCTGCCTGCCCTGGCCTCCCAAAGTGCTGAGATTATAGGCGTAGAGCTTTTTTTTTGAGATGTCTAGGCTGGAGTGCAGTGGGACGATCTTGGCTCACTGCAACCTCTGCCTCCCAGCTTCAAGCAATTCTCCTGCCTCTGTCTTCTGGGTAGCTGGGATTACAGACCAAGCCCAGCTAATTTTTGTATGTTTAGTAGAGACGGGGTTTCACCATGTTGGTCAGGCTGGACTTGAACTACTGACCTCGTGATCTACCCGCCTCTACCTCCCAAAGTGTTGGAATTACAGGCGTGAGCCCCAGGACCCGGCCTAGAGCTTACTTTTATACCACCATTCCTCAGTATCCATGAGGAATTGATTCCAGGACTCACACAGATACCAAAACCTATGGATGCTTAAGTCCTTATATAAAATGCTGTAGTAGTTGCATATAACCTACATACATCCTCTTGTGTACTTCAAATCATCTTTAGATTACTTATAATACAATGCAAATACAATGTAAATGGTTTTTATATAGTAGTTAAAAAATTGGGGGTTTTTAATGTTGTATTCTTATTTTTTATTGTTTTTTTCCATATATATATATATATTTTTTTTTTTAATTACATTTTAGGTTCTGGAGTACATGTGCTGATCACGCAGGATTGTTGCATAGGTACACACATGGCAATGTGGTTTGAGAGTTTTTAGCATAAAGGGCTGTTGAATTTTGTCGAAGACCTTCTCTGCGTCTATTGAGATAATCATGTGGTTTTTGTCTTTGGTTCTGTTTATGTGGTGGATTACGTTTATAGACTTGTGTATGTTGAACCAGCCTTGCATCCCCGGGATGAAGCCTGCTTGATCATGATGGATAAGCTTTTTGATGTGCTGTTGCAGTCGGTTTGCCAGTATTTTATTGAAGATTTTTGCATCAACATTCATCATGGATATTGGCCTGAAGTTTTCTTTTTTTGTTGAGTCTATGCTGGGTTTTGGTATCAGGATAATGTTGGTCTCATAAAATGATTTGGGAAGGATTCCGTCTTTTTGTATTGTTTGGAATAGTTTCAGAAGGATTGGTACCAGCTCCTCTTTGTACATCTGGTAGAATTCAGCTGTGAACCCATCTGGACCTGGACTTTTTTTGGTTGGTAGGTTATTAACTGCTGCCTCAACTTCAGCCCTTGTTATTGGTCTGTTCAAGGTTTCAACTTCTTCCTGGTTTAGGCTTGGGAGGGTGCAAGTGTCCAGGAATTTATCCATTCCTTCCAGGTTTACTGGTTTATGTGCATAGAGTTGTTTGTAGTAATCTCGGATTGTAGTTTGTATTTCCAAGGAATCGGTGGTGATCTCTCCTTTATCGTTTTTTTTATTGCATCTATTTGATTCTTCTCTATTTTCTTTTTTATTAATCTGGCTAGCGGTCTGTCTGTTTTGTTGATCTTTTCAAAAAACCAGCTCCTCGATTTACTGACTTTTTGAAGAATTTTTGTGTCTCTGTCTCCTTCAGTTCTGCTCTCATCTTAGTTATTTCTTGCCTTCTGCTAGCTTTTGAGTTTTTTTGATCTTGCTCCTCTAGCTCTTTCAATTTTGACAATAGGGTGTCGATTTTAGATCTTTCCTTGCTTCTCTAGTGGGCATTTATTGCTATAAATTTCCCTCTAGACACTGCTTTAAATGTGTCCTGGAGATTCTGGTGTGTTGTGTCTTCATTCTCGTTGGTTTCAAAGAACATCTTTATTTCTGCCTTCATTTCATTGTCTATCCAGTCGACATTCAAGAGCCAGTTGTTCAGTTTCCATGAAGTTGTGCGGTTCTGAGTTAGTTTCTTAATTCTGAGTTCTAATTTGATTGCGCTGTGGTCTGAGAGACTGTTGTGATTTCCATTCTTTTGCATTTGCTGAGGAGTGATTTACTTCCAATTATGTGGTCGATTTTAGAGTAGGTGCCATGTGGTGCTCAGAAGAATGTATATTCTGTGGATTTGGGGTGGACATTTCTGTAGATGTCTATTAGGTCCACTTGGTCCAGATCTGAGTTCAAGTCCTGGATATCCCTGTTAATTTTCTGTCTTGTTGATCTGTCTAATAGTGACAGTGGAGTGTTAAAGTCTCCCACTATTACTGTATGGGAGTCTAAGTCTCTTTGTAGGTCATTAATAACTTGCTTTATATACCTGGGTGCTCCTTTATTGGGTGTATATATATTTAGGATCATTAGTTCTTCTTGATGGCATTGATCCTTTTACCATTATGTAATGCCCTTCTTTGTCTCTTTTGATCTTTGTTGGTTTAAAGTCCATTTTATCAGAGACTAGGATTCCAACTCCTGCTTTTTTTTGCTTTCCATTTGCCTGACAAATCTTCCTCCATCCCTTTATTTTTAGCTTATGTGTGTCCTTGCACGTGAGATGGGTTTCCTGTATATAGCACACTGATGGGTTTTGACTTTTTATCCAGTTTGCCAGTCTGTGTCTTTTGGTTAGGGCATTTAGTCCATTTACATTTAAGGTTAATATTGTCATGTGTGAATTTGATCCTGCCATTTTGATGCTAGCTGGATGTTATGCCCGTTAGTTGACACATTTTCTTCATTGCGTCAAGGTCTTTACCATTTGGTACATTTTTGGAGTGGCTGGTACTGGTTGTTCCTTTCCTTGTTTAGTGCTTCTTTCAAGAGCTCTTATAAGGCAGGCCTGGTGGTGAGAAAATCTCTCAGTGATTGCTTGTCCATAAAGGATTTTCTTTCTCCTTTGCTTATGAAGCTTAGATTGGCTGGATATCAAATTCTAGCTTGGAAGTTCTTTTCTTTAAGGATGTTGAATATTGGTCCCCACTCTCTTCTGGCTTGTAGGGTTTCTGCTGAGAGATCTGCTGTGAGTCTGATTGGCTTCCCTTTGTGGGTAACCCGACCTTTCTCTCTGGCTGCCCTTAGCATTTTTTCCTTCATTTCACCCCTGGTGAATCTGACGATTATGTGCCTTGTGGTTCCTTTTCTTGAGGAATATCTTTGTGGTGTTCTCTGTATTTCCTGGAATTGAATGTTAGCCTGCCTTACTAGGTTGGGGAAGTTCTCCTGGATAATATCCTGAAGAGTGTTTTCCGGCTTGGATTCATTCTCTCCCTCACATTCAGGTACACCTATCAAACGTAGATTAGGTCTTTACACATAATCCCATATTTCTTGGAGGCTTCGTTCATTTCTTTTCACTCTTTTTTCTCTATTCTTGCTTTCTCATTTTATTTCATTGAGTTGATCTTCAATCTCTGATATCCTTTCTTCTGCTTGGTCGATTCAGCTATCGAAGCTTGTGTACACTTCATGAAATTCTCATGGTGTGTTTTTCAGCTCCATCAAGTCGTTTATATTCTTCTCTAAGCTGTTTTTCTAGTTAGTATCTCATCTAACCTTTTTTCTAGGTTCTCAGTTTCTTTGCATTGGGTTAGCATATGTTCTTTTAGCTCTGAGAAGTTTGTCATTACTTCTGAAGCCTGTTTCTGTCAATTCATCAGATTCATTCTCCATCCATCTTTGATCCCTAGCTGGTGAGGAGTTGTGATCCCTTGGAGGAGGAGAGGCATTCTGGTTGTTGGTGTTTTCATCCTTTTTGCACTGGTTTCTTCCCATCTTAGTGGCTTTATCTACCTGTGGTCTTTGTAGTTGGTGACTTTCGGATGAGGTCTCTGAGTGGACATCCTTTTTGTTGATGTTGAAACTATTTCTTTCTGCCTCTTAGTTTTCCTTCTAACAGTCAGACCCCTCTGCTGCAGGACTGCTGAAGGTCCACTCCAGACCCCACTCGCCTAGGGATCACCCGCGGGGGCTGCAGAACAGCAAGGGTTGCTGCCAGTTTCTTCCTCTGCTATCCTCGTCCCAGAAGGGTACCTGCCAGATGTCCGCCTGAGCTCTCCTTTATGAGGTGTCTCTTAGGGTATAGGGTGGTCGGGGAGTTGCTTGAGGAGACAGTCTGTCCCTTATAGAAGCTCAAGTGCTGTGCTGGGAGCTCCGTTCTCCATGCAGAGCTACTGGGCAGGTACCTTTAAGTCTGCTGCAGCTGAACTCATAACTGCCTCTTTTCCCAGGTGCTCTGTCCTAAGAAGGTTGGCTTTATTTATAAGTTCCTGTCATGCTGCTGCCTTTTTTTCATAGATGCCCTGCCTTTCACGGAGTAGTCTAGTCACAGTCTGCCAGCAGAGGTGTTGCTGAGCTGCCACAGGCTCTGCCCAGCCTCTGTGTGAACTGCCTTGGTAGTGGTGGACTGCTTTGGTAGTGGGGGATGCCCTGTCCCTCACTGTACTGGACTGTCCTGGGTCCAGCTGCGCTTGCTGTGAAACTCTCAATCCAGAGTGTTTCAGATTGCTTGTTTTGTGGGGGAGGTACCCACCAAACCAGATCGCCTGGCTCCCTGTCTCAGCCCCCTCCCTTTCAGTTGGATGGGTGGCTCTGTCTCCCAGGTGTTCCAGGCGGCAGTCAAAACGGCCACCCAGACTTATGTGAGTTTCCGTGTGCCTAATCAGCACCGGCTGAAACTACTGCACTAAAAACTGGTGGCGCTTTTCAGCCTGGGAATCTCCTGGTCTCTGGGCAGTGAAAACTTGTTTGGAAATGTGGTGTTCACTCACCCTCTGTGCTGTTCTTGCTGGGAACTGCACTACGGAGCTGTTCCTATTCAGCCAACTTGGATCCTCCCCTTTCCAAATATTTTTAATCCTCGTTCGGTTGAATCCATATATAGATGAAATCTCGGATGTGAAACCCATGGATATGGATATGGATATGGATATGGATATGGAGGACCAGCTGTACTGTATATGCATTCATCATTTATATATCCTCTCTTCTGAGTTGCTGGTTAATATCTCTTATTCATTTTTTTTTAGTTTTTTAAATTAATAACCTATAGGAACTGTTACAATAGTGGGATTTTAATCTTTTGTCTATTGTGTGTGTTAAACATATTTTTTCCTAATCTGTTGTTCTTGTTTTTCAATTTTATTTTTAGTCTTTTTGCAATATGTAAATGTAAAATTATGTTGCTTAATCTGTACATCTTTTTTCTTTGCAGCTTCTGGATTTTTGATTTCCAACACCAAGATTTAAATAAACACATTCTTTTTATTTACTTCCAGTTTTTTTTTTTTTTTTTGGACAGTTTTACTCTTTCACCTACGCTAGAGTGCAGTGGCACAATCTTCACTCACTGCAACCTCCACCTCCCAGCTTCAAGCGATTCTCCTGCCTGGCTGTGGCTCATGCCTGTTCATATTGTTCAGGCTGGCCTTGAACTTCTGACCTCAAGTGATCTACCTGCCTCGGCCTCTCAAAGTGCTGGGATTATAGGTGTGAGTCACCATGCCCAGTCTACTTCCAGTATTTTATAGTTTTGGTTTTTATGTTTACATTTTTTCCCCTCAAGAAGAAACTTTTTATTGTGGAAAATTGCAAACACACAAAAGTAGAAAAAACAGTATAACTACTTCCCATATATATCCATTACCTAACCAACAACTATCAACTCACTGCCTGTCTTGTTTTGTCTGTACCTCACTTCCCTGCCCCACTCCTACATTAATTCGAAGCAAATCCCAGGCATATTATTTCATTTGTAAATGTTTTAATATGTTTCTCCAAAAGATAAGGATGCTTTAATAAATAACAATATACCATTATTGTACCTAAAAAATGCCTAAAATGCCTTTTTGTTACATACAGAATCCACATATCTATATCATTCTACTTTTTAACTTTATAGTTTTGTTTCTTTGCTATTTTTTTCCTTACTCAAAAAAAAAAAAAAAAAAAAAAAAGGAAAGAAAATGTCAGAGCTACAGTGCCGCATCTCTGCTCCTTCTCTCCCTCCATATGATTTTACAGAGCAAAAAGTGAAGGGCTTCCCTCACCAATCCATTGCTTTTCTCAGAGGTTAATTAGTACTGATAATGTAAGTTTCTTTTCAGATCTTATACTCGACATTTACACACATACACATTTTTGCCAAAATCGGAGGCAGTGTTTAAGATGGTCTTTGGCAAAACAGAGGCCATAAACCACCATCTTAAAGTTGGTAGTTTACACACACACATAAGCAATGTACTCTTTGATTTTTTTTATTTTTATTTTTTGTTATTTATTTATTTATTGAGACAGAGTCTTGCTCTGTTGCCCAGGCTGGAGTGCAGTGGCAATCTTGGCTCACTGCAACCTCCGCCTCCCAGGTTCAAGTGATTCTCCTGCCTCAGCCTTCCAAGTAGCTGGGACTACAGGTGCCCACCACCACACCTCGCAAATTTTTTGTATTTTTAGTAGGGACAGGGTTTCACCATGTTGGCCAAGCTGGTTTTGAACTTCTGACCTGAAGTGATCCACCGCCTTGGCCGCCCAAAGTGCTGGAATTACAGGCATGGGCCACTGCACCTGGCTGTTTTATTTATTTTTTAAAGACAATGTATTGCTGTGTCACCCCAACTGGAATGTAGTGGGTTTGATTATGGTTGAATGCAATCTTGACCCCCCCAGGCTCAAGCAATCCTCTCACTTCAGCCTTTCACCATGCTCGGCAACATTTTTTTCTTTTTTCTTTTTTTGTAGAGACAGAGTCTAATTATGTTGCCTAGGTTGGTCTTGGACTCCTGGGCTCAAGTGATCTTCCTGTCTCAGCCTCCCAAACTACTGGGATTATAGGCATGAACCACTGTGCCCAGCCCTATACTTTTCTTTACAAAGGACTCATATTCTTCGTGGTGACTTCTTAGTATTTTCTGGGTTTTGCAGCTACTGTGAATGAAATCTCTTTTTCATCCTTTCCTCCCTCCATCCCTTCCTTCCTTCCTTTCTTTGGCTAACACAAGCTAAACCTTAACTAATACAAACTACTTGTTCATTTCTTATTCTGATTCAGTGACAGAAATGTCAGCCCACAGAACTGGAAGTTTTGGCCAAGGACCTTGGTAGGTATGAAGCTGGAAAACAAAAGCCACTCATCCACTGGTGCTAATATGCCAATTCATTTGTTAATACTTATAATAAAATATGGCCCAGACAGAAACTCCAGGTTTAGAAAAAATGTTCCCGATTAATTAAAAATATATATAAATTATGATTTTGGACATTGGAATAAAGTGTTAAGGTCTGTGTATTAGTCCATTCTCATGCTGCTAATAAAGACATACCCGAGACTGGGTAATTTATAACTACAAGAGGTTTAATTGACTTCTGCAGGGTCCGGGAGGCCTCAGAAAATTTACAATCATGGCAGATGGGGAAGCAAACACATCCTTTTCACATGGCAGCATAAGAGAGAAGAATGAGCCTAAGGGGAAAAGCCCCTTATAAAACCATCAGATCTTGTGAGACCTCACTCACTATCATGAGAACAGCAGCATGCAGGTAACCCCCCTGCCCCGTGATTCAATTGCCTCCCACCAGGTCCCTCTCACAACACATGGGGATAATGATTTGAATGGGGACATATCATTCCACCCCAGCTCCTCCCAAATCTCATGTTCTCATATTCCAAAACACAATCATGCCCTTCCAACAGTCCCCCAAAGTCTTAACTCATTCCAGCATTAACTCAAAATTCCAAGTCCAAAGCCTCATCTGAGACAAGGCAAGTCCCTTCCACCTATGAGCCTAAAAATCAAAAGCAAGTTAGTTACTTCCTAGATACAATGGGGGTATATTAGGTAAATACACCTGTTCCTGATGGGAGAAGTTGGCCAAAACAAAGGGGCTACAGACCCCACGCAAGTCGAAATCCAGTGGGGTGGTCAAATTTTAAAGCACTGAAATGATCTCCTTTGACTCCATGTCACACATCCAGGTCATGCTGATGCAAGATGTGGGCTCCCACAGCCTTGGGCAGCTCCGCCCCGTGACTTTGCAGGCTACAGCTCTCCTACTGGCTGCTTTTATGGGCTGCCATTGAGTGTCTGAAGCTTTTCCAGGTGCACAGTGCAAGTTGTCAGTGGATCTACCATTCTGGGGTCTGAAGGATGATAGCCCTCTTCTCACAGCTCCACCAGGCAGTGTCCCAGTGGGGACTCTGTGTAGGGGCTGTGACCCCACCTTTCCCTTCTGTGCTGCCCCATCATAGGTTCTCATGAGGACTTCACTCCTGCAGCAGACTTCTGCCTGGACATCCAGACATTTCCATATATCCTGTGAAATCTAGGCAGAGGTTCCCAACCTCAGTTCTCATCTTCTGCACACCTGCAGGACCAACACCACATGCAAGCTGCCAAGGCTTGGATCTTGTACTCTCTGAAGCAATAGCCAGAGCTGTACCTTGGCCCCTTTTAGCCATGGCTGGAGCTGAAGCAGCTGGGACGCAAGGCACCATGTCCTGAGGCTGCATAGAGCAGGGGGACCCTGGGCCCAGACTAGGAAACCATTTTCCCCTCCTAGGCCTTGGGCCTGTGATGGGAGGGGCTGCCTTGAAGATCTCTGACAGGACCTAGAGATATTTTCCCCATTGTCCTGGCAATTAACATTTGGCTCCTTATTATTTATGCAAATTTTTGCAGCCTGCTTGAATTTCTCCTCAGAAAATGTGTTTTTGTTTTCTATCACATCATCAGGCTGCAAATTTTCCAAACTTTTATGCTTTGCTTCCCGTTCAAACCTAAGTTCCAATTCCAAATAATTTCTCTCAAGTTCAAAGTTCCACAGATCTCTAGGGCAGGGGCAAAATACTGCCAGCCTCTTTGTTGAAGCGTAACAAAAGTCACCTTTGTTCCAGTTCACAATAAGTTCCTCATCTCCACCTGAGACCACCTCAACCTGGACTTCATTGTCCCTCTCACTATCAGCATTTTGGTCAAAGCCATTCAACAAGTCTCTAAGAAGTTCCAAACTTTCCTACGTCTCCCTGTCTTCTGAGCCCTCCAAGTCTCTAGGAAGTTCAGATTTCCCACATTTTCCTGTCTTCTCCTGAGCCCTCCAAACTGTTCCAACCTCTGCCCATTACTCAGGTCCAAAGTCGCTTCCACATTTTCGGGTATTCTTATAGCAGCACCCCAGTCTACCAGTAACAATGTACTGTATTTGTCCTGTTATAAGTAAAATTTCGATGCTGCAAAAGAAATAACACTCGAAGATATGTCCTCTCAGCAAGGCAATTTACTTCTATAGAAGGGTGCAGGGCTCACGGACAGAGCAATTATGGCCACCACATGCTTGGACAAAGGGGGGAAGGGGTACTTATTCCTGACTGGGTTCATCCCTACTGCTGTATCGTCCCCTATTGGCTAGGGTTAGACTGCACAAACTAGACTAATCCTGACTGGCTATTTTAAAAAGAGCAGGGGTCTGAGCTGGAGTGGCAGGGTGGGTGTTTTGGCAGAAAGGACAGTTACGGGTGTGTCGGAGCGGGTAGCCAGGGGTGATCAGGTGACCAGAATGAGTCAGGATGGAGCTGGGGTGGGGGAGGTGGGGACAGATGTGAACTACTGATGAACTGGTGGAGAAGGTTGTTTACTGGAATTACAAGGAAGTTAAACTTTAAAATAGATATTTAAAGAATAAGAGAGCAGAACATACTGACATACTGATTATTTGAAGAGAAACTTGGGGTTCATTATAATTGTCTGTTCTCACACTGCGAATAAAGACACATCTGGCCAGGCGCAGTGGCTCACACCTATAATCCCAGCATTTTGGGAGACCAAGGGAGGCGGATCACCTGAGATCAGGAGTTCAAGACCAGCCTGACCAATAAGGAGAAACCCTGTCTCTACTGAAAATACAAAAAATTAGCCAGATGTGGTGGCGTATACCTGTAATCCCAGCTACTCAGAAGGCTGAGGCAGGAGAAGCACTTGAACCTGGGAGGCGGAGGTTGTGCTGAGCAGAGATGGTGACATTGTACTCCAGCCTGGGCAACAAGAGCAAAACTCCATCTCAAAAAAAACCCAAAAAACAAAAAAGACATAGCTGAGACTGGGTTTATAAAGAAAAGAGGTTTAATTAACTCACAGTTCAGCAGGGCTGGAGAGGCTTCAGGAAACTTACAATCATAGTGGAAGGGAAAGCAAATACAACCTTCCTCACATGGCAGCAGGAGAGAGCAGAATGAGCAACAGAGGGGAAAGCCCCTTACAAAACTATCAAATCTTGTGAGACCTCACTCGCTATCATGAGAATAGCAGCATGGGGGTAACTGCCCCCCTGATTTAATTATCTCCCATGGGGTCCCTCCCATGATAGGTGGAGATTATGTAAAATACAATTCAAGATGAGATTTGGGTGAGGACACAGCCAAGCCATATTAGTATGTGCTTATATATGTATTTTCTTTTTCAGTACTTATTATTTGTGCTTATATATTTTTATTTAAATTTTATATCCTCAAAATGATTTATTTATACAATTTAATAGGAAGATTTTTTATGAGCTGAATGTTTGTGTCCCCCCAAAATTCATATGTTGAAATAAATCCTAGCCCCCAAGGTGACGGCATTAGGAAGTAGTGCACTTATAAGAGAGGCCTGGTCTTGCGGTAAAACAAAGAGAGCAAAATTAAAAAAAAAAAAAAAAAAAAAGAGAGAGACAGGCCTGCGAGATACCTCTCATCCATTCTACCACGTAAAGACACAGCAGGAAGACAGCCATCTGTAAATCAGAATGCATATTCCCACTAGACACCAAATCTGCTGGTACCTTGATCTTGGACTTCCCAGCTTTTGGAACTGTAAGAAATATATTTCGGTTATTTATAAGCTACCCAGTCTACACTATTTTGTTACGGCAGCCCCAACAGACTAGGATAAGGTTTTTATGTGAAGCTATTTATAATGTAATCAGAAATTGCTGCATAGCAAGATATAGCTCTGCATCTAGTGGCACTTACATTACAAACTCATTGAGCGAATAGGATCTGAGAACCAAGTCCCTCTTTATCTCCTGTAATATCCAACACAGTGCCTTGCACTTGGTAGGTATTCACAAATATGTGCTCAATTTATGAAAGAAAGGCAATTTTCACAAAGAAAATGGCTTTTTAAAGGAGACTGCTTTCTGTAGGGTTTTCTGATCTAGAGTTTGGTTGAGATCTTATTTCCCCAACTAGTTTTCATAGGAATATGAGTGAAATAAACATGTCATTAGTACCCTCTTTCTTACCACTTAAGTGACTTAGGTTTAAAAAAAAAGAAAAGGGCCAGGGATGGTGGCTCACTCCTGTAATCCCAGTAATCCCAGCACTTTGGGAGGCTGAGGCGTGTGGATGACCTGAGGTCAGGAGTTCAAGACCAGTGTCGCCAACATGGTGAAACCCCGTTTCTAATAAAAATACAAAAATTAGGCTGGGTGCAGTGGCTCACACCCGTAATCCTAGCACTTTGGGAGGCTGAGGCGGGCAGATCATGAGGTCAGGAGTTCGAGACCAGCCTGACCAATATGGTGAAACCCTATCTCTACTAAAAATACAAAAATTGGCTGGGTGTGGTGGCACATGCCTGTAATCTCAGCTACGCAAAAGGATGAGGCAGGAGAAATCGCTTGAATGTGGGAGGTGGAGGTTGCAGTGAGCAGAGATCATGCCACTTCTTTCCAGCCTGGGCACAGAGCGAGCCTCCATCTCAAAACAACAACAACAACAACAAACTTAGCCTTAGCTTCCTCATCTGTAAAATGGGAGTATTTCTATGGTCTCACTCAGCTGTATTTAAAGCCAAAGTAATGTTTTATGGCAAAATCATATATCAAATGTTGACAAAGATGAGGTCTCCAGGATTGAAAAGCTGTTTACAGTTTCCACATCTAAATATGCACATACTATTTTAGTATTCAGATGGAAGCTAGCCACCAAAGTAACTTCCTAGGCAAAGTGGTGAGATCTAGTACCGGAGGGCCTTCCTTCCTTCAATTTTTCCGTATTTTTCTTTTTTTTTTTTTTTTTTTTTTTTTGAGACGGAGTTTCACTCATGTTACCCAGGCTGGAGTGCAATGGCGCGATCTCGGCTCACCGCAACCTCCGCCTCCTGGGTTCAGGCAATTCTCCTGCCCCAGCCTCCTGAGTCGCTGGGATTACAGGCACGCGCCACCATGCCCAGCTAATTTTTTGTATTTTTAGTAGAGACGGGGTTTCACCATGTTGACCAGGATGGTCTCGATCTCTTGACCTCGTGATCCACCCGCCTCGGCCTCCCAAAGTGCTGGGATTACAGGCTTGAGCCACCGCGCCCGGCAATTTTTCCGTATTTTTCTATCAAAGTTATATGTGTATGTAGTTTAAACAGTTAACTATTTCATAATAAAACTACAAAACTACAAGTTTTGTTATGAAAAACCACCTTCACCTTTTACATGGTTATTTTGGTACTTAACCTCTCTGTGTCTAGATCAGAGCTGTCTAATACAAATAGAATGCAAGCCACAAATATAATTAAAAATTTTCTAATAGCCACATCAAAAAGTAAAAGAAAATATGAACTCAATTTTGGCAATACTTTTTTTTTTTTTTTTTTGAGACGGAGTCTGGCTCTATCGCCAGGCAGTGGCATGATCTCCGCTCACTGCAACCTCTCCGTCGTGGGTTCAAGCAATTTGCCTGCCTCAGCATCGGAAGTAGCTGGGATTACAGGCGCCTGCCACCACGCCCAGCTAATTTTTGTATTTTTAGTAGAGACGGGGTTTCAACATTTTGGTCAGGCTGGTCTTGAACTCCTAATCTTATGATCTGCTCGCCTCAGCCTCCCAAAGTGCTGTTGTTACAGGCGTGAGCCACCGCACCCGGGTTCAAGGGATTCTCCTGCCTCAGCCTCCCAAGTAGCTGGGATTACAGGTGTCTGCCACCATGTCTGGGTAATTTCTTTGTATTTTTAGTAGAGACGATGTTTCACCATGTTTGCCAGGCTGGTCTCAGGTGATCCGCCCACCTTGGCTTCCCAAAGTGCTGAAATTACAGGCCTGAGTCACCGCGCCCAGTTTTTTTTTTTTTTTTTTTTGAGAGGGAGTCTCACTCTGTCACCAAGGCTGGAGTGCAGTGGCATGATCTCAGTTCACTGCAGCCTCTGCCCCCCCAGGGTTTAAGCAATTCTTCTGCCTCAGCCTCCCGAGTAGCTGGGATTGCAGGCATGCACCACCATGCCCAGCTAAGTTTTGTATTTTTAGTAGAGATGGGTTTTGCCATGTTGGCTAGGCTGGTCTCAAACTCCTGACCTCAGGTAATCCAGTTGCCTCGGCCTTCCAAAGTTCTGTGATTACAGGCGTGAGCCACTGCGCCTGGTCAGCAATACTTTTTTTTTTTTTTTTTTTGTTGAGACGGAGTGTTGCTCTGTCACCCAGGCTGGAGTGCAGTGGCACGATCTCAGCTCACTGCAACCTCCGCCTCCCGGGTTCAAGTGATTCTCCTGCCTCAGCCTCCTGAGCAGCTGGGACTACAGGTGCACAACACCACGCCCGGCTAATTTTTGTATTTTTAGTAGAGATGGGATTTCACCGTGTTAGCCAGGATGGTCTCGATCTCCTGACCTCGTGATCTGTACGCCTCAGCCTCCCAAAGTGCTGGGGTTACAGGTGTGGGCCACCACGCCCAGCCCAATACATTTTATAGAACTCAATTTACCAAAACCTTATCATTTCAGCATGTAATCAATATATGAAATCATTTAGATATTTTACATTTTTTGGTACCAAGTCTTTGAAATCTGCTGTGTATTTTACACTTAGAGCACATTTCAAGTTAGATGTTAAATTTTCATTGGCAATACTTGATCTGTATTTAGATTTCATAAAATTTACAATTGAAAAAGTAGATTCACATACCCAAGTTGTTCCAAATATTCTTAAATTTTTCCAATAACTGGATTGAATATCAATTTTTAAATTTAAATTAGGTTAAGTTAAATTAAGTTAGATTATATTTAAATAGAAAATTCAGTTCTTTATCCCATATTTCAAATGCTTAATAACCATAGATGGTTAGTGGTTACTGGTTGGACAGAGAAGCTCTAGATAACATGTTTGTATCACTATTTCTTTGGCTTTTTTTTTTTTTTTTGGTTTTTGGTTTTACTTTGTTTTTGTTTTTGAGCCGGAGTCTCACTCTGTCACCCAGGCTGGAGTGCAGCGATACAATCTCAGCTCACTGTAACCTCCGCCTCCTGGGTTCAAGCAATTCTCCTGCCTCTGCCTCCTGAGTAGCTGGGATTACAGACACCCGCCCCCATGTTTGGCTAATTTTTTAAATTTTTAGTAGAGACAAGGTTTCACCATGTTGGCCAGGCTGGTCTCGAACTCCTGACCTCAGGTAATCTGTCTGCCTCGGCCTCCTAAAGTGCTTGGATTACAGGCATGAGCCACCACATCTGGCCTATTTCTTTTTTATTGAAGTATAAACAATTGTCTTTCTTTTCTGTTTTTCTTTTTTTTTGAGAAGGAGTCTCACTCTGGAGCGCAGTGGCGCAATCTTGGTTCAGTGCAAACTCTGCCTCTCAGGTTCAAGCAATTCTGCCTAAGCCTCCTGAGTAGCTGGGATTACAGGCACCTGCAACCACACCCATCTAATTTTTGTATTTTTAGTAGAGACAGGTTTCACCATGTTGGCCAGGCTGGTCTTGAATTCCTGGCCTCAGGTGATCCACACACCTCAGCCTTGGAAAGTGCTGGGATTGAGGGGAGGGTCGGTGGGGTAAAAGAAAGTGCTGGGATTATAGGCATGAGCCACTCCACTTGGCCTAACAATTGTCTTTTTACCATGCAAGATGAGTAAGTTCAGAGAAGGAAATGAAATGCATGGGATTAGATCTCCCTCTTGGTGCTATAATCAAATTATTATGTTTAAATAACCTGATAATAATATATTTTAATAATATAAGAAAATAGGGGCTGGGCGTGGTGGCTCACACCTGTAATCCCAGCACTTTGGAAGGCCAAGGTGGGCAAATGACCTGAGGTTAGGAGTTCAAGACCAGCTTGCACAACAAAGTCAAACCCGGTCTCTACTAAAAATACAAAAATTAGCCAGACATGGTGGCATGTGCCTGTAATCCCAGCTACTTAGGAGGCCGAGGCAGAAGAATCACTTGAACCCTGAACTCGGCAGACAGAGGTTGCAGTGAGCTAAGATCATGCCATTGTACTCCAGCCTGAGCAACAAGAGCAAAACTCCGTATCAGAAAAAATAAAAATAAAAAAGAAAATAGGATTGGAAAATATTTTAATATTCAGCTTAATTTGATAACCAAATTTATGCAAAATGCTATGTAAGTATGCAGAACCAAAAGAGCTTAGAACGAGGCATAGCAGACTGTACTTTCCAAAGAAGGCCACACAATATCTACATCCCACCTACACTTCTCAGAACATGATCTTGACACTCTTCCCATCAAGAGGTGTGGTCTGTGTCCCATCCCCTAGAAACTGTAGGAGTTGGAGTTCCTTATTTGCTGTCTTTAAAACTTTGTTAGTGTTGGCCGGGCATGGTGGCTCACACCTGTAATCCCAACACTTTGGGAGGCCAAGGCAGGTGGATCACCTGAGGTCAGGAGTTTGAGACCAGCCTGGCTAACATAGTTTAACCCCATTTCTACTAAAAATACAAAAAATTAGCTGGGCGTGGTGGCGGGCACCTATAATCCCAGCTACTCAGGGAGTTGAGGCAGGAGAATCGCTTGAACCCGGTAGATGGAGGTTGCAGTGAGTGGAAACTGTGCCATTGCACTCCAGCCTGGGCAACAAGAGCAAGACTCAAAAAAAAAAAAAAAAAAAACCAACTTTGTTAGTGTCTAAAACATTCTGAGGCAAGAGAATAGGGCCTGGGGGCAGGGATTCTAAGGACTTCCTAGAACTAAATTAAATGGAAAAACCCCAACCTTCTAAGCCCAAGTAAATAACTTTGTAACTCTACTTCAGCTGTGGCAGGAAACATCCTCTTCATTTGCACAGGGTGTACACCAAGTAAATAACTTTGTGACCTCTCTTTAGCCTCTTCATCTGCATAGGGTTACACCAAGTAACCAGTGGAAACCTCTAGAGGATATTTAAACTTCAGAACATTCTGTAACTGGGCCCTTGAGCCCCTTGCTCAAGCGTGCTTTTGTTTTCAATAAATCTCTGCTTTTGTTGCTTCTTTCTTCCCTTGCTTTGTTTGTGCTTTTTGTCCAGTTCTTTGTTAAAGATGACAAGAACCTGGACACCCTCCAGCAGTAACACTTCCACCGTGAAAGTGGGCTTCTATGACCGTTTTTGACCAGTTAGAGCACTGGTCTGTGAGGCTTTCAAGGCTGAGTTATGAAAGGCGATACAGCTCCCGGCTGTTTTGCTGCAATAGCCTCTGTTGAAGCTGTTCATAGCTAGTAAACAGTCTGATTGCCCTGAGGCTGCCATACTGTGAGGAAGCCAAAGTAGTCCACTTGGAGAGTCTACAGTGCAAGATGCTGAGCTTATGGGAAGAGGCCGACTCTAATCAGTCCAGCTGCTCCAGCACCCTGCTCCCTGCCATTCCGGCACCTGCTACCATCTCACTGCAACCCAATAAAAGACCTTGAACTGGACTCCCAGATGAGCCCTTCCCAGATTCCTGACCCATAGAAATCATGGGCGATAATAAAATGATTATTGTCGTTCTAAGTCCCTAAGTGTGGGGTGATATGTTACGAAAACAATAGTAACTATATAGCACAAGGTGTTGTTTCTCTTTGATATTTTGGTATCCCTTCTTTGGAACTCAGTTTCTGTTCTCTCACCCAGGCTGTAGTGCAGTGATGTGATCATAGCCCACTGCAACCTTGAACTCAAGGGTCTCAACCTTGGGCTCAAGCGGTCTTCTTGCCTGAGCCTCCCGAACAGCTGGAACTACATGTGTGCACCACCATTCCCGGCTAATTTTTTAATTTTTAGTACAGACAGGGTCTTATTACGTTGTCCAGGCTGGCCTTGAACTCCTGGGCTCAAATGATCCTCCCACCTTGGCCTCCCAAAGTGCTGGGATTACATGTGTGAGTCCCTGCACCCAGCCTGGAACTCAGTTTCTTGATTTGAGTGATGTGTAAGGTCCCTTGCAGAGCAAACATTCTTTTATTACATCTTCTTTATGCCTCTGTTTAACACTTGTGCAGTAAGATTCTGCTAGCATCCAATCGAGTCTGGTTCAGTTTCAAAACAATTTCAGCAGCATGATTTTAAAATCCTATGTCATTATTATACTCTACATTTGCAATGCATTTTTAACTTTTCAAAACTTGTTTATATTCATTAGTTCATCTAATTCTCCCAACAGACCTATGAAGTAAGCAGGGTAGATATTAATGAATGAGGCATTGAAAAATAAGATTACATATAGACCAGATACTTGAATTACAGACGAAGGGAACTGGAGGGATCCTCAATGGAATTCCTTTTGAAAGATAAGGAAACTGAGAAATGGAGATTTTAAACGTCTGGTCCACATTCAAACAGGTAATCAAAAATTAAAATGAAAACTAAAGTCTTCTGGGTGGGCATGGTGGCTCAGACCGGTAATTGCAGCACTTTTGGAGGCTGAGGCAGGAGGATCACTTGAGCCCAGGAGTTCAAGATCAGCCTAGGCAACATAGTGAGACCTCATCTCTACAAAAAAACAAAAACGAACTAAAGTCTTCTGATCTTGGTTTAACTCATTAAAATCTCACTTAGTTTTGCTTTAGATTAATACCCTGATTATGTCCAAATTTATTCATCCTGAGACATGCTAAGTTGTATGGTACTTGACAGAAGCCTGCTGTTCTTATGTTAATCAAAAACTCTCTCTTTCTTATTCTTTATTTGCTGTCTTTAAAACTTTGTTAATGTCTAAAACATTCCACCAAAGTGTTTCATTTCAGTGTTAACTCAGACACAAGTGATGATAATTATGTTCCAAAGTTTAGAAAATTATGCACAAATTATCAATTAAGCAAATGCTTCAACAGTTACATGCCTCATCAAGAGAAATTATGCAAACTCTGGGAGAATGACAATTTTACACAAGATGTTTTTATTTATTACATTTTCTAAATTGTTGTGGATAATTTCCAATAACTTTATCAAAATATTACACCATTTACATTCCAGATGAAATTTTGAGATCAGAAATTTTTCTCAAATGTGGTATAAATATGAAACCCCTATGTCAATCTTCGGCATAGATGTGAAATATGAGAATTTTGTCAAACTCAATGTATCTTAAACTGTACTCATTATATTTCCTACAAATCGGCTTCCGACTCAGTGATCATGTTGAATAACACTATCATCAGGTGCCCACTCACCTAATTAGAAACTTTGTAATGAATTTCAGTATCTTCTTCTTCCTTGAACCCTCATTCTCCACCATTTATCTAATATGTCACCAAGTCCCACTGACTCTGTGAGAGAGCTCCTGAATCTGTCCTCGCCATTTCCATTCCAATTTAAGTTCATATTCAGGCAGGAGTAGAGCAATATGATAGCTGTAAGAAGTTGGATATAAGTGCTTAAAACACAGCTCTCTTGAATTTGTGTGGGGTCTTTGCTCCATTGTATTTGGTTTAATAAAAACTTAATGAGCACTTACTGTGTGCAAGATAATCTGCTACGTTCTGGAGGGTACCAAGGTGAAACAAGGTTCTGGCCCTTAAAGGGACAGATACTGAGACGAATAATTACAGTGTAGTGAAGGTTAGGTAGAACAGTGTCCATGATGAAAATGTGATTTATCTAGCAAGAGTTTTCAAGGAGGTGGTCTCAGAGTAGTTTTGACAATTTGAAAGCAGATCAGTACTGAAGTTTGTTGTAGACAAAAGAACAACTGTGAAAAGCTATGGAATTGATGTCCTAGTAAGATAGTGCATGATATATCCTCTCCAGTCTAAATTCAGAATATCTATAAATATAATATAAAAGCAAAACAGTAAAAACTTATAGACAAACTTAAATGTAGGTTAAGCAGGCTGGGCGCAGTGGCTCATGCCTGTAATCTCAGCACTTTGGGAGGCTGAGGCAGGCAGATCACCTAAGTTCAAGAGTTCGAGACCAGCCTGACCAATATGATGAAACCTCGACTGTACAAAAAATATAAAAATTAGCCAGGCATGGTGTCATGCACCTATAATCCCAGCTACTCGGAAGGCTAAGACAGGAGAATCCCTTAAATCCAGGAGGCAGAGGTTGCAGCGAGCCGAGATCACGCCATTGCACTCCAGTCTGGGCAACAAGCGCAAAACTACTTGTCAAAAAAAAAAAAAAAAAAAAAAAAAAAAAAAGTAGGATAAGCAACTGCTTAGACAGAAATGGAGCAGAGATAGGAAAGGCTGGGGACCTAAAGCTTCAAGTTTGAGAGGCACTGGATCTGGAAGCTAATGGTTATGCAGGATAAAGGGAGCTAAACAATCCATTCAAGGACACTGATCAGGGTCTCTGTTTAGGGTCAGTGGTTGGAATGGACCTCACCTAGGAAAGAGGCTGAGGAGGGGAAATGCTATTGTCAATCTATGGCTTTTAGTAAACTATGCATGTGGGAAGGTGGGAAGACACAGATACAGCATTGGCACTTGGAAGTGAATCAAATCACCTGCTGGATACCGTCTGGAAGACCCTAGAAATGCTGTCATAAAGCCTGATTTTGGGCTTGGTGTGGTGGCTCACCCCTGTAATCCCAGCACTTTGGGAGGCCGAGGCAGGCGGATCATAAGGTCAGAAGTTCGAGACCAGCCTGACCAACATGGTGAAACCCTGTCTCTACCAAAAATACAAAAATTCGCCAGGCGTGGTGGTGTGCATCTGTAGTTTCAGCTACTCAGGAGGCTGAGGCAGGAGAATCACTTGAACCCCGGAGGTGGAGGTTGCAGTGAGCCAAGATCACACCACTGCACTCCAGCCTGGCAACAAAGTGAGAGTCCGTCAAAAAAAAAAAAAGAATGAAATCCTGTCATTTGCAGCAACGTGAATGGAGCTGGAGGACATTATGTTAAGTGAAATAAACCAGGAACAGAAAGTTAAACACTGCATTGTCTCACTCATGTGGAAGCTAAAAACAACCAGTTGATCTCATAGAAGTAAGAAGTAGAACAGAGAGAGGATAGTAAAGGCTGGGAAGAGTAGAAGGAAGAGGGGATAGGGAGAGGTTTGTGAAAGGATACAAAATTACAGCTAGATAGGAGGAATAAGTTCTAGAGTTCCATAGCACTGTACTATGACTGTAGTTAGCAATAATATATAGTTTCAAATAGCTAGAAGGAGGATATTGAATGTTCTCAATAAAAGAAATGATAGGGCTGGGCACAGTGGCTCATGCCTATAATTCCAGCACTTTTGGAGGCCAAGGCGGGCAGATCACAAGGTCAGCAGTTCAGCATGGCCAATATGGTGAAACCCTCTCTTGACTAAAGCTACAAAAATTAACTGGATGTGGTGGTGGACGCCTGTAGTACCAGCTACTCGGGAGGCTGAGGCAGGAGAATCACTTGAACCCGGGAGGCAGAGGTTGCAGTGAGCCAGGATCAAGCCACTGCACTCCGGCCTGGGCAACAAGAGCGAAACTCCATCTAATATATATACACGTGTGTGTGTGTGTGTGTGTACTTAAAAAAAGTAAACATTGGGGCCAGTAGGCTCACACCTGCAAGGAAAACAACTTGTACTAAAAATAATAAAACAAACAAACAAACAAAAACGAAAACAACTTGTACTAAAAAATAATAGTATGAGTAATATTTACTTAAAAAAGTAAATATTGGGGTTGGGTGCGGTGGCTCATGCCTGTAATCCCAGCACTTTGGGAGGTGGAAGTAGGTGGATCACTTGAGGTCAGGAGCTGAAGACCAGCCTGGCCAACATGGTGAAACCCCATCTCTACTAAAAACACAGAAAATTATGCCAGCTGCAATAGCTCACACCTGTAATCCCATCACTTTGGGAGGCTGAGGTGGGCAGATCACCTGAGGTAAGGAATTCTAGACCAGCCTGGGGAACATGGTGAAATCTCACCTCTACTAAAAGTACAAGAATTGGCAGGGTGTGGTGGCGGGCACCTGTAATCCCAGTTACTTGGGAGACTGAGGCAAGAGAATTGCTTGAACCTAGGAGGCGGAGGTTGCAGTGAGCCGAGATCGCGCCACTGCACTCCAGCCTGGCGCCTGGTTTCAGAGCAAGACTCTGTCTCAAAAAAAAAAAAAAAAAAAGAATGTAAACATTAAGGATAATCCCAAAAATTATAGAAATGTAATCTATGTAAAGTAGCAGAGGAAGGGGAAACAAGAGAAAAAGGATTGTGAACAGAAAACAAATATAAGAAGACAAAATTGGTAAACCTCAGAAATGTTTACAGATGAACCCCACAAATGGCAAAGACTATCAAATCAAGTAAATAAAACAAAATCCAGCTATACACAGCTTATAAAAGCCCTAGCTAAACAAAGCAACATAGAAAGTTTAAAAATAAAGAGATGACATTGCTTCAAGAACTCTTATTCAACTAACATCATAGGTTCAAACTGACAGAATTGCAAGGAGAAACTTATAATCCATAATTATATTGTGAGAATTTGACAAAACTCTTACAGAGTCTCCCTCTGTTGCCCAGGCTGGAGTGCAGTGGTGGGATCTCAGCTCATTGCAACCTCTGCTTCCCAGGTTCAAGCAATTCTCTCCTTCAGCCTCCTGAGTAGTTGGGGTTACAGGAGCCCACCACCACACCCGGCTAATTTTTATTGTATTTTTAGTAGAGACGGGGCTTCACCATGTGGGGTAGGCTGGTCTTGAACTCCTGACCTCGTGATCCACTCTCCTTGGCCTCCCAAAGTGCTGGGATTACTGGCGTGAGCCACTGCGCCTGGCCACTCTTACGATGTTTATTGATAGATTACACAAAGTAGAAAATAGTAAGAATATAAAAATAAATATATAGAGGCCGGGCACGGTGGCCCACGCCTGTAATCCCAGCACTTTGGAAGGCTGGGGGGCGCGGCAGATCACCTGAGGTCGGGAGTTTGAAGCCAGCCTGACCAACATGGAGAAACCCCTTCTCTACTAAAAATGCAAAATTAGCTGGGCGTTGTGGTGCATGCCTGTAATCCCAGCTACTCGGGAGGCTGAGGCAGGAGAATCACTTGAACCTAGGAGGTGGAGGTTGTGGTGAGCTGAGATCATGCCATTGCACTCCAGACTGGGCAACAAGATTGAAACTCTGTCTCAAGAAATAAATAAATAAATAAATAAATAGGATATATGGGTTGAATACAGAATTTAGATGTTTTGTAAAACACAACCAACAAACTTGAGAGAATATTTAATGTAAAACTTTATGCCTAAGAAATGGAGAATATATATTATTCGTAACACTCAGCTCATTGTATGAGACTAGTATAACATACCAAAGCAGGACAAGGATAATATGGAAAACGAAAATTATAAACTAATTTTATTTATGAATAGTGATGTTAAAATCCTAAATAAACTCAAATCTAATAATGTATACAAATAATAATAATAATTAGTGACCAAGTAAGTTTACCATAGGAATGCAAAGAACACATCAGAAAATCTTTTTTTGTTGTTTGTTTGTTTTTTTTTGTGACAGAGTCTCGCTCTGTCACCCCGGCTGGAGTGCAGTGGCTCAATCTCAGCTCACTGCAACCTCTGCCTCCCAGGTTCAAGCGAGTCTCCTGCCTCAGCCTCTGGAGTAACTGGGATTACAGGTGAGTGCCACCACGCCCAGCTAATTTTTTTTTTTGTATTTTTAGTAGAGACAGGATTTCACCATGTTGGTCAGGCTGGTCTCGAACTCCTGATCTCATGATCCACCTGCCTCAGCCTCCCAAAGTGCTGGGATTACAGGCGGGGGCCACTGTGCCTGGCCCAGAAAATCTATTAATATAATGCACCAACAAAACACACTAAAAGAAAAAAAAGAAATCAGTCTGGGCAACACAGGGAGACCCCATCTGTACAACAAAAAATATATAAAAATTTAGCCAGGCGTGGTGGCACACACCTGTAGTCCCAGCTATTCAGGAGGATGAGGTGGAAGTATGGCTTGAGCCCAGGAGTTTGAAGCTGCAGCGAGCTATGACTCTGCCACTGCACTCCAGCCTGGGTGACAGAGTGAGACGCTGTCAGGAAAAAAAAAAAAAAAATCCCCCAAACAAAGAAACAGAAAAAAAAAAATAATAAAAAATCACAAAAAAACACTCAAAAA